AGCGGAGGAGAGGCCCAGGGGCGACATGAAGATGTTTTTTCCGGGAGCGGTTCTACCATTTATGTTTCTGTAAATGGCAAAGGCGAAGTCGGCGTTGTGTGGGGAAATGGCGTGGCATTTCGTGGATCCATGGTGGTGGTGGTGGTCGGCTCGGGCCGCAACCAGCAGCAGGGCTGTCAGAGCGCAAATAGCAAAGATACTACGCATCTCGGAGCCTAGCGAGAAGAAAACAAGTCAGCTATGTTACACACAGAAGAGCAAAACTGTTTCCGAGAAGCAACATTAAAACAATCAGCAGAGTAATTGACTCCACCGTCCTACAGCTAAAACGAGCACCCAAAGCCATTTCTTTTACTGAAATTTGCTTTTAAGATTAAACCGGTTGTACTGCTGATCTCCATAAAGTGACTTACCTTCACTATCCTCTTTGCAGCAGAAGGCTTGTAGCATATTCCCCGTTTTTATAGAGAAGCTCAGAGAATCAGCTGACAGTTTGGTCAAAGATTAACCAGGAATCATCCTCCCTTGGTCTCTGTCCTTTGATATCTGAACAGTCCACTCCACTGATGCAACAGACCCCACTCAGCACATAAAAGATAAGAGACTCACAATGTGTCCTCACTGAAATACACAGATATTTTTAGGGGCCTCAATGTTTTCTTTCTCTCCATTTTGAGGTTTTAACAACTTCCGACAACAAAGGCCAAAGTCATGTTTTGCCAGAAGTGATCCATTATTCCTTAGGAAGACGACATTATGTTTTAAGCTGGAAGAATATGCAACAACAGCAAAACAACAACACTGTTGAAGAAAACAACTGAAAGCCAAGGAAAAGACCTGACATTATTTCAGCTTAATGTGCATTTAAGAAACGGCATAAAAGATCAGATAGGGACAAAAAGTGTATGAAATGTATATGAATTCAAAAAATGTAACGAGTTATATATTAAACTTTTTGTGGGGGGGGTTAGTTGTGTTTAATTACGACAGCGCAGAAGGCCCATTTGGAGGTCGAACAAAAGGAGGAGGAGCGCGTTTCTGAAATGTTTCAGAAAGAACGAGGGCTTTGCCGAGTTTGAAAAGTAGAACACTGACTTCAAAAAAACTCAAAAAGATTTCCACAAGTCAAACATTTGAAAGTCAAGAATTTTCACGTTTTTGTTCCACAAAATTTTCTGAGATTAATATGAACATTTTTAGGAGTTTTTTTTTTTTTTTGAGAAAATTCATTCCCCTTTCTTTCATTTTCAAACTACAATGACCCTAATAATGTGTTGCTTTCGACATGGGTTGCTAATTCAATGGATCATTTCATTCGACAATATGATTTGATTTTAACTCATGTTGTTCATTTAAATGATCAAAAGGTCATAAAAAATTTTTGTTTTAATTGAAAAAGAGACAAGTTTTACATATATTTTTCTTCTTCCCGCTCTCTTTTCATCCATGCAAGTGAAAAGGAAGTTTGTAAATTAATGAGTAGATGAATCGATTGATTGATAGATAGATTGATTGAAAGATTGATTGATTGAATGATATTCAGTTTTTTCACATAGTGATACTTTGTTTGCACTTAAGGACTTAATCTCAAACCCATGCCAGTATTTTAATGTGCTTAAACAAACACTTTACAGGCGCCACTTGAGAGGGCGTGAGAATAAAAAGACTCAAGTTCTGAACTTGAAATTTCCCCATTTGGATCAGGAACAGATTCTCTGGATCCAGAGTTTTGCCGTGATCCGGAGAAAGCCTCGCGGTTTAATAGGCTGACGTTTGTGTTAGTCACGAGTGGATCTGCCGTCCTTTTCAGCAAGTCGTCCTCTTTTCATCATGTTTCCACGGAGGCAAACATTCAACGCGGCGTTGCCATACTGAGGCAGGAAGCTGCAGGAAGCCACCACAAAACGTCACGCTACTTCAGCGTAGCTCTTTTTTATCCCCCCCCCCCCCCCCCACTCCACCCCTGTTTTGTGTCGGCGAATGAGCCTACATACTCTGGCAAAGCAATTTCCCAATAATTGCCTAAGAAGATAAAGAGATGTTAAGGGAGGAAATGGGTTTCAGAGTGGTGGTGGAGGGTGGGGGAAGGGGGGAGACAACAGAGAAAATGCTTTTGTAATGGAAGAAAAAAATGTTTTATGTTTTCTGCCAGACAGCAGTGATTCAGTCACAGGGATAAATTGCAGTCATTTGAAAGTCTTTTCATCATTTTTGGCAAAAAATGGGGGAATAAACCGTGAATCATCTCATGATGTTTGAAAATCAATATGCACTCGCTTCTCTGAACTCTCTGGAAATGTAGCTTTCTCCTCTCATGAAGTGCAACACCGCCGGGGGGGGGAGGAAGAAAAAGTTCAACCCAAAGCTTCCTCGTTTTGTAGGTAAATACGGCACAACGAGCAGAAGAGACAGAAGAGAGAGCACACTTTATTCCAGGAGAGAACCGATCACTGATTACCGTTCTTTGTCGGCCGATGGCAATTTTTTTTCTTTTGCCTGAAACGTTGCAAAAATACAGCAAGACGGTTGCTTATTTGGCAACAGTGTGGTGACTATTGTCAATTGCAGACATGACCTGGTTCTGCCAGTCAAAGCTCCCTCAGGGCAGAGCAGAAGAGGACAGTGGTTGATTATTTACACCTTTGCTGAGGTCGATAATATCGGCTTCACCTGTGAGTATCGGCCGATTACCAGAAATAGGTGAAGTTTTCTGCAGTATGGGCAATCCGGCCAACGAGCAGCACAAGTCGGGCCAGGCAATCGCAGACGACGAAGACGAAGGGTCTGTCGAAGGCGATCCTCTGGGGGACGGAGAAGTCCGGAGGGTCGGGAGGGGAGTCCGTCCACCTCCCCGCCTCTCCAGATCTGGACTCTTCCACCCATTGTCCTTCAAGTGATATCTCACTCCCAACTCTTCTGAACCTTGTAGAGCTCCAGCTTCCTCTCCCGTGCGCTGGAGGAGTTGGCAGCATTCAAGGAAACACCAGCGTTTCGCAAATCCAAGCTGTAGGAGTTTCTCAAAGGAAACTGCCCTCCTGTGAAAACAACAATCAGCGCCTTAACGGATCCGCCGGCAGAGGTCCTGCGAGAGGTACTGATGGCTTTAACAGGCCCGTGTATAGGGAAGAGTCATTAGCGCTCGTTTAGAACGTCCTCGGCTTCATTCATCAGGGGGCAAAAAAGGCAAAACTGGATGCCGAAGACTGAAGAGAGCAGAGAAATTTTGGGCACCCACTTCAAGCGCTGAGATGAATGGACTCATGTTTCTTGTTACAGCAGGTAAAATAGCTTTAGCAGCGGCAATGGAAATATTACGCTCACTAGACGCTTCGCATATGAAACTAAAGCAACTGCTTCTTGTCTTCTATGAGAAAACAAAGGGGATTCTGTTGGAAAACCGTGTTCTGTCTTTAAAGCAGAAATTGGTGCTTTAAAGCACAGATTCTCCCGCTCTGAATTCATCTGTGAGAGGGCGTACTTGCATTATTACGTCATCATATTTTCATCACTTGAAAACGGCTTCCAAATTTAAAAAAAGTTTAAAAAAAATACCATTTGTCACGACAAGTTTCTACTTAATGCTACTTAATCCACAGTGCTGCCAAGCCAAAAGTGGCCCCTGGGGGCCAGTCGCCCAGCGGTGGCTGAGCGGTTGGCGTCGAACAGCATCATCACCGCGGGCGGGTCGTCCAGGAGCATCATGGCGGAGGCTGCGGCGTTGAGGCGCCGCCGTTCAAACGGCTGCCGACCTGATTTACGGTCAATTAACGGGAAGAGCATGTTATGAATGAAATATGACAGTAAAATGGCAAAGACAGAAGTTGCATACCTATAAAAAAAATTTAAATAAAAAAAAACCTCCTGCTGCATAGATTTATGAGCGCCAACTGTTATAGAAGGATATAAAAACAAGAGCTAATGAGAAAGCAGACGCTCGGTCGCTCTATGTTCTTTGACACAGATCCAATAAAGATGTATTGTGGTTCTGACTAAACATTATGTAATCTGCATTCAAATCATGATGGAAGTGAAACTCATGTAGATTTATTACAGACAGAGTGATCAACTTTTCTCTCTCTTTCCCCCCCGATTTTTCTGGTCTACAGTTAATAAAACAAACTCAATCATTTCCTTTGGCACGATTTTGCATTTCTTTCTTTTTTCTTTCTACCAAAAACTGTTTGATAAAAGACTAAAATCTGGTGCTTAGGTCTGAACTAGACCTTTTTTTTTTCTTTTTTTTTTTTGCAGGTCAATTTTCTTTACAAAATCTTCAAATTTGATTTTGTTTTTTGTTTCATTTGTTTTAGATGTTTTAAAATGTCTTCCAGTTCCAGTGCTAAATGCTCATTGAAATTTAAAGCTTACCGATCTTTTATGTGCGTTATTTCTGCCATTACCATTAGATTAGCTACAATCGTCTCGAAATAACAATAATATCGTCTGTCAAAATAACTTCTGGAACAATTTAACGTCCAGGAAAACTTCTTGTGGTCCAGGTCCAGGTCTCTTCTACCAGCCATTGACATTTACTTATGGTAAATGTCAATAATTGTCTGCTGGACAACTGTCAAGTGAGCAGTCTTTTCTATGCTGAAAATGTTATAATCTGTAAGCTATTATATAAAATAAATAAGCATTTTGTGCGTATGCATTCGTGTCATCTATGTATTCTGATTTGCTGAATACATAGCAAGGTGATTTTAGGTGCATTTACTATTTCTTATTTATTGATTTATAATTTTTATCGTGAGAGACCAGAAACAATTATTGAGGAAGCTGGGTTCTCGAGATGCACTTCAGGATGCCGGTGCCGTGTTTCGGTGTGTACATGGAGCCGCCTCCGTTTTAAAGCCATGACGTCAAAGTTCAGTCTCTCTTTTCAGTCGCCCAAGATGATATGGGGCCTCAGTCAGAAAGACCCCTAAACCCCCCCAAAACCCGACCTACTGAGAACCTCAGCATCACTGACACGTTTAAATCATTACCAGGTGATCAAGTGAATCTGTGAGAGGGAGACCAGATTTATTCACCAAGTTTAAAATCAATCACTGATTATTGGTTGTTTGCGGTGATGTATTTGTGAACAAACTCAACTCAAACACAAAGATTACACCGTGTCATAGCCATGGTAACACAACAATCAAACTATCTAGATGATTCTTTAAACTTTTACAAAGTAAACTTCCTCATTAAATCCTAAATGTATAATTTTTTCCCTGCTGAATGCATTAAATCAAACGTAATAACATTGTCATTATCTATAAATGGAAGCTACAAGTTTAGATCTATGGTCTGTGTTACAATTAGACCATTTCTATGTGTCTGAATGATCGAATTGTCTAACTGTTGATTCCAACAATCCACATTGTTCCCAGAAATAGAGGGACCCAAAGCCAAATTTGGCTAAGGGCCCCATGGAGGCTTGGGCCCGGCCCTGCCATCCCGGCCCGATTGGGCAGAGGAGACGCAGCACTCCTGCTTTGGCGGAGTGGCGAGGGCTCGGTGCGGGGGCGCCCGTTGAGCTGAAAGCATATTGATCTCTGGAGCCGAGCGTTTGACCTTTGGGCTGAGCTCCGAGCAAACAGTGGGAGCCTGTTTTCAGTTTCTTAGAATTTCACCAACAAATAATGAGCATCAGGTGGACTCTCAGGACAGAGCATAGCTGTTCCTCTCTCGCATGCTGGTCAACATGGATTTTGAGCTCTTATGCAACCGGCGCATACTTTTATTTTGGTGAAGTTTCCCTGCATACATGCAGTGGCATTCAGACAGAAACTGTAAACGAGTTTGAATGCTGCTTCTCTGGTTTAAGTGGGGGGAAAAAAAAATCTTTCCAGACTTGAATTGTCTCTCCTGGTACAGATGTGTGAAAAGCGGTTTACCGGTCCGAAGTCTACGTCTGCATAAGGGGAATAGTGATTCCTGGCTGTGTTTCTATTACAAATCTGCACAAAACTTTGTCAGTATTATTTTGTCAAAACAATACAATTTCGCATTTACGGCATTTCCATTCAACAAGAAATGCAATTAAAACCCCAGACGAATAAGCTTAACTCATTAACAGAACATGCCGGACCATCGTGCCCAACATGACAGCAGGTCATGTTGGGTTCTCAGCAGAGAAGCAAAAGCTCCGGCGTCCATGCACAGCTCCTGCGATGCAGCGATGCCACCATCTGGTGGGTCGAGTCAACTACGCCTGAAAGGATTCATTTCTCCCAGGGAAATTTCCAATCGGCCCCCAACATGAACAGAGTTCTGGTCATTTGAGCAGCAACAATCACTTTGAGGAGCCTAGAAATCAATAGAATCAAGCAGATTATTAGAAATGATTACCACAATTACGACCGGGTTAAACCTGCTGGCAGAAGTCCTCAAATCTCTAATCCTCCGATGTGACCCTGAGGGAAGTTTAATGACCCGCAAGAAAAGCCAGGCCAGCCGTAGAGTCTCCGTTTGCCCCATTAGAGGAAACCGGTCTAATTAAATGTGTTTTTGATGCGAGGATGTACAGCCAAGTTGACTCAGAGGTACAGCTGAGGCAGGATGAGGTAGCAGTAGAGCGAGATCCACAGGATCAGCAGGACTTCCAGCTCTAATGGGGTTGAGTTACAGCAGGCTGCTATGGACTGAAGGCTGAGTCCTCCATTGTTCCTGGAATTCATACGAACACAGGAGAGATCTATTAGGGCTTTTTATGTTTCATTTCAAATACTGCATTCAGAGAAATAACACAAAACAGAACTGATTGCCTGGTTTGGACGAGTGGACAGTCGAGAGGACAGTTTCCCCCCTTGCCGTCTCGTCCCCACATTTTGACCCGGTGTGTCCCTTCATACTTCCATTTCCGTCCCACAGACGGTTCCATTACCATCTGCCTGAGCCACACTGTCTCACTGTATTTCTCTTTTTTTTATTTATGGAGCTAAATGGTCAAAAGGAAATCCTGTAATCACATCTATGATTTAATTTTGTGCTATATTCTTCTCTTAAGGCTTTTTGGTTCAGGGTCATTGCGTAGCATAGTGGGTAGAGCGGCGAGGCCACAGTCCACCCTTGTGTTCAATTCCCGACCTAAGTACCTTAGCCACATGCCGTCCCCACTTCTCTATGCCTCCTTTCTGTCTACATACTGTGAGAAAAATGGAAAAAGCCACTAGTGCTAGCCAAAAATGTATTTCATATATAAAAAGACTTCTTATCCCACCTTCGCCAAGCGCCTCCTTCTACGCTTCGCTTCATATAGAGGGTCTAAACTCTTGGCTATTGAGAAACAATTGGCTCACTGGAGGTGTGGACTGCGCTGACCGGATCTGATTTCACCCAGTGTGGCAGCTGGATGAGAGACCTTCCACAAATTGCTTGTTTCTGTCACCATTAAGCATTTTTCAGCAACTTGTTTGTTGCACATTGTTATGAGAATTCCAAGTTATTTCTAAATCACGGGCAGATTTTCTGTGATCTGGTCTACACTGCCGTTGTACCGTCTGCAGACACAACCGTTTGGAAGCACCGTGACTCAAACTTTCTCCTGAGCATGTTTTGTTGTCTCTGTCCTCTTTGCTTAGAGCTCTGTGAAATTCAACACCAGTTTACTTGTACTGTAGTAACTGCAAGAGAAATTACTACAATAGGGTCTGAATTCAGACTTTTGATCAGGCACAGGGGAGACTGGGACTTATCAAGAGGTTGAGTGTGTGTGCAATGATGAGTCAGTACCGTAACGACTGAGGAGACGCCCTGCAGGTCACAGTCCGGACGTTTTCGCCCTCATGGACGTCATCAGGACGGCTTTCGCGGGTAGTTCTCTGATCTGCTTTCGGACCCTCGATCCTGCTGATTGTTGGTCCCCGTTTCCTCCTGTCTTCTGTTTGAACGAACCCGTAATCAGAAGATGTCATTGAATGACCAGCTTCCTTCATTTTCACTTCAGCTCCACAGTCCATGCTGCTGATGGTAGCCCCGTTTGTGTTCAGGATATTGAAACCAGCATCTTCTGAGGAAGTTTTTTCCGCTGTTTTATTATTCAAACTTTGTAATTTCACAGGTTTCTGACTTCCTGTGTCTTTCTTCTCGACACGAGCTTCCTCCGACTCACTCTGCTCCCTCAGATCCTCCACTAAATCTTCCTCCACTGTTCCCTCGCTCACAAGACCCAATTTTCCAGAGAGCTCTGCTCCTCCTTCCTCATCATGTTTCCAACTTGCTACTTCGAAAATAGTTGCTTTTACGCCACCATCTTGAACTTTGTCAAGCCCATCTTTCTTTTTACCATCACTCCCCATCCTTTTGTTGCTTTCTTCCTCAGTGTAAGTGTCTCTGTTTGTTCCTGTGCGGGCCTCTGGCTCCGAGTCCAACACGGCCCTCTTGTTTGTCGTCTCTCTACGGCTGCTTTTGAGCTCGTCCAAATCCAACTTCCTGTTTGCCCTGAGATGACCTTCTTGTTTATGTCCGCCTCCGTCAAACATCCCTCGCAGTGCCAGATGTTTCGACTCTTCCTCCATCTCCTCGGCCGTTTCCTCTTCTACTTTTGGTACTTGTCTTTTTGATGGATTACTTGGTCGGAAAACATCTTTACTCAGATCCAGGATGTAGCTGTAAGCGTCCTCTTCGTCTGAATCTAATGCCGACAAGCTGTAGATTCCTTCTTCGGAGCTCTGGGAAACGAGGCTTCTCTTACCGTGGCCTCGATCCGAACTCTTATCCATCCACGATCGGATATCCTGGTTGGCTATGCCTGCTTCCAGCGGACTTGGTGGCTCTAATGCTCTTTGAGTGAAGGGAAAGGATGTTTCGGGGCTCCCGCTCTTGTTGGCGTTGTGGGCTCTGGAGGCCTCCGAAGATTTTCTGGACCATTGTCTCCACAGTCGCTGCTCGTCGCTTTTCTCAAAGGTTCTGAGCAGAGCTCGGGCTTCCGGGTCGTCAGCCAGGGTCTGTCCAAGGCCGACTGGTTCAAAAGACACAAAGCCGGGAATCTCGTGAACGTCAAACTGTGCCATGTGATCCTGTAATATAAAGCAAAGTCACATTTTAGCCTGTTTATAAATGCTTATGATTGTGTGACGTAAAAACACAGTTTGAGTCATGTGATGAAGGCAATGATGGATTTTTATTTTTATTATTGCTCTGTAGCTTCGATAAGACGACCGAATGCTCGACTTAGCAATGAATTCAACTTCTGAAAAGAACAGAGAATAGGTTTGAAAAATCTTTGGAAGATTCCAGGCCACATTTTAGAAACGTAAAAAAACCTAAATAAATAAAAATAAAAAGTCTCACTCTCTCTTTTTTCATCATTTTTGACAGAGGGGTTGTTATGTGCAACTCGTTAAAGCGTCTCTGAAAGATATGGTTAAAAACAGACCCTTTTGGGCTTTGGTTAAAAACCGGTTCAGTTTATAAATCTAAATTATGTGGTGATGATAACAAAACCATGATGATAACAAAACCATGATGATAACGTTCCAGATCCATCTGGAAGTCAGAAGCCAGATGAAATCAGATTCAGCTTTTCTGGACCACGCTAACTCACTAATCACTACGTCCAGTTATGAGGATAATTCCTGTTAGCGACACAAGTTGAAAACAACATATTTCAACACATAACCCTAACCCTTACCCTAACATCTGAATTATTTCTACCAATAACTCAGAGGTGTTGTAGAGTGACATGAAGGGTGTAAATACTTTTTGTGGCACAGGGGGACACCGTACAATAATGAATGTGTTTTTGGTGAGACGGCTAATTTCTCATTTCTTTTTTGTGTAAAGTTTTTTTTCTATGGTTTTTAAGAATATGCTTCAGTTCATGAGAAATGAATAATGTGGAATAATGACAAAAAAAACGACTTTTCTCAAAACACACCCAATCCAGAAATTACCTTCTCATTTCTTTTACTACAAATGTGGATAAAGGTGATTGGTGACAGTCTTATGGTGTTATGTTAGGCTGTATATTAAATAAATGTGTGCGGAGAAGCAGCTTCTCTCTCAAAAAAAAAGGTTGATGTTCAAGTGTCAAACTGCGCCGACCTCATCTGTGACCGAATGATCCCGCAGAAACATCGACACGTATGTTACGATGGACTGCTCGTCCGGCGAGGCGCACGCCACGTCTGTAAAGAGGGAAATAAACTATTCTTCATGTTACTGTGGTAACCATTGTGGCTTATGATGTCTTTGTTCTGGTTTTTACCCTCAGGCTCCAGCAGGGGGGGTACGTCCAAACACTGATGGGCCAGCATGAAGGCCTGGCGGAGATTTTCCCTTGGCTCCTTGGACAAGCTCTGCCTCAGGTCGACCAGCTCCGGTTTTATGGACTTAATCAAAGCCAGGAAAGCCATTCCACTTCTCCAGCTGGCCCCGAAGTCGTCCACATCCACACCGTACCTGCAAAATTCATGGCTATCTTCGGACATTCGTGGAAAATTGTGATTTTTTTTTTCCACTCATCGAGTGGATGCGGGCTTACTTTGACGTGCATCTTTGGACCCAGTGCAGGAGAGTCTTGATGGCTTTGCTGTGGTACTTTGGCTCCCTTTCAGCCTTCTTCCCTTTCCTAGGCAGAGTGTTGCAGGAATAGCCATCATTGTCACGGGTTTGAGGTGAGAGGTCACATGTGGAAGGGTAGGCGCTCAGGGATAAGGAAGACAGGCTGGAAGACAAATGTCTCTGCAGGCCTCCTGTCGCCTCCTTCACCTGTTTGGTTTCCCAAAAGAGGCCAAGAGACAAACTATAGTGTACAATAAAAAAAAAAAGATTAGACAGATAATGAAGGTACCCAGTTGCTCACCTGGAAATGGAGGATGATGTTCCAGACGAGGTTGAGAACAACAGAAGGGACGCCATCAGCGACGCTGGAGGCGTCGATGCCAAGAAGCTTCACCTGGGGGGGCAACACTGCTGTAAGTGAGTGGGTTACAATGAGCCTGGCTGTATTGAACTGATGAGCGAATCCCCACATGTCTGTCGTCCAGGAAAGCTAGGGCTTTGGAGATGTTGTTCAGTCTGAAAATGCGATGAGATGAAGACCTGAACCTGTAAAGCTAACATGAAAGTGACAGTGTGAAGAGGCAAGTACAAAAGTAACCCGACCTCTTGAATTCTTACACAATTTATCTCTTTAGATTTGTAAACGTTGTTGTATTTTATTAAGATTTTACCAACCTGCCCCCCCTTTCTTACTTTGACATCCCTGAAAACTGAAATGTAAGAGGGAAATAATCTGCACAATTTTATTAGAGAGCAATCGGCATCATGAAGACCAAGGATCACAGCAGATGGGATGTTCTTTTATGTTACAATACAACACCCCAAGCTTAGAACATCTCACCAGACTCAGACTCAATCAGACTGGATAATGGTCTGATCAGTCCATTATTGAAAATAAGAGAATCAATTGAACATTTTCTTATTTTCAAAGCGTTGTTAGAAGACATTCTCGTCGAACTAAACTGACAGGACAGGTAAGGATGGCACATAGAGAGGCAGCCAAGAGTCCCTTGGTAAATGTGGAGAGACGCACAGCTCAAGTGGAAGAAACCATTGACATGAAATGTCTTCATTCCACAACTTAAGGAAGAGAGGCAAGAAGAAATTTGTTTCTGCTGGGCTGGCCACTGTCTTTTAACTTGATTCTCATCTCCCTCCAATGCTCCAGACGAGATTTCTCCCATTGAGCTCGATTTCAATGAACAATTTCAAATGGACCAATCGGCAAACAGAAGTTATGAATGATGACTTTGATTTTCTGTGCTGTTTTAGAATTGCATGACAACACAGGAAGTGAACAAAGACGTTCGGTTTGCCCTACTATTGAAAATCGTTAATCAGAGCAGGAGAAGTGTTTGGGACATTTTATTGCTGTCGTTCAATTTCACAGTGCAGTTTCCTTCACGGTCCAGACCGTCTGGGGAAGTGTGGACCTTTGAGTTTGCCACAGGATACAGAAAAAATGTGGAATGGAAACACATAGATTTCCCAATTGATGTGCAAAGTTTTGCGCATATTTTGTAACGGAAACAGAGCTGGTGACAGACGTTGAGACTGAAAGAAAAGATTGAATTCATCTAAAACAAACAACTGGAGCAAAAGTGGAACAATTTTAATTGAATGACCCAGTCAAAGTCAACAGGAATCTTGGGAACTCAGTCAAAAGCAAAAATATTGGACTTTAATACATCCCCAATTTGTGTTGCTCTATTCCCCCCCCCCCCCCCAAAAAAACAATTTCTTTTATGGTTTCAAGATGAAAAAAATGTGGGAGTTCTCACTAGTTTGCAGCCAGACAGCTCCTCCAGGAGCGCCATGAGCATTCTGCCATCCTGAATGTCTGTGAACAGGTCGGAGACTGAGAGGGGAGGATTTCTCTGGAAATAAACAGAAACGAAAGCTTCTGTGGACGATCGCTTTTATTGCAAAAAGTGCTTTGAAGTGAAAGTCTTGTGGTTCACGCCTTACTTGTTGCAGGAACACGTTCATCCATCTGGTGAAGGTTCTCTTCTGCGTACCTTTCCTCCTGTCTGAGAGAGGAGAAGCGGGACGTAGCGCAAAGACGGTAATAAAACGTTTCCTAAAACACCTTTGAGACGACGACACCTCTAACCAATAAAAACATTTCAGGTGATAGAGCAACCAGATGGCACAAAGCCTATAAAGCGGATGAAATCTAGCAAAAAAAAAATAGCAACAAGTGACCTTTTTTGTATCTTTTTTCTTTTGATTACAGGGTATTTAGCTGGCCTTATGGATCACTAAAACACATCATACCTTGAGGCTGCCCATTGTGATCATTGATCGCCGTTGCTGCTTTGCTCTGTGAATCCAGTAAGTCCTGCATTCTCAGTCACTCCTTTTGCTCAAGACCCATTGTGGAGACAAAAGAGGTGCCAAGAGCTGAACATATCCACAATCTTCTCTTGAGATTTCCTCATACAAAGAAGGACGGAGGTGGAGGCAAAGTGAGACAGCACAGCTTGCTCCAGCACGCCCAAACCTCCCACCGAGCTGAACTCCCCCCGAGGACAACATAGCCTCCCTGCCATTGGCGGGCAGCGGTCCACAGAGTCGTATTTGCAGCGCCTTTTGCCAGATTTCACTGGATCTTTCCGTGGGACAAAAAAAAAAAAAAACACACAAAACAATCAGCTGGTTTTACTGATACTGGTACTGAGCTTCATCACATACCAGGAATTAAGACTTGCACAAGAATTTGATCTCTGACTCATGACCTTTTAGTTACCACACGCTGTTTGAGCATGTTCGAAACGACCTGCAGAATCAGCGGGCGGAGGCATTCTTTTTAAAGCGCCTTAAAAACAAAATTAAATTTGCCAGCAAGTAAAATTTCTTGGGTATTTAGTGTGGATGCATGTTGCCAAACAGCAACATTTCTGGAAGATGTCTAGTAGGAAACTGAATAATAATAATAATCAAACAATTTACTAAACAATCATTTTATAGTCAGGTCGTGAAACCACCACCCTAATGTGATCTTTACAAATCAAAGATTTGTTGTTTTTTTTTTGTGATTGATGCCAAGTTTCTATTAGCTGTGTGTGAAAATACCTTCTCTTCCCAGTTGGCATGCTTACTTCATAGCTGATGAGGAAAACACATAAGTCACCATATGAATCACATAGAAACCCATGTTTGGTGTTCTGGCTTTGTGCTGACTTGGGCTCTAAGTAATTCCGTTTCCTCCCTAAAGTTCTTCAACAAACGCCCGAGGTCCAAACAGAGGAATCGGATTTACGCTGCGAAACGTGTCCAACAGGTCGCAGTCGATTTTTATTGTCAGGAGAGAAAATTGGCTTTTTTATTTTGAAAAAAAAAAAAGTTTTAAAATACATCAAACCAAACTTTATGTTTTATGTGCACATGGCAAACTCCAAAGTGTCAATGTGGATACAGTCATATTTACAACAAAGATTTTGGGTAGTTATGCATAAAAAAAATAATTCCTTTAATCTAGAAAAGGAAAAATAATTCTTTCCACTTGCTTAAAGATCGTCATAGGCGAAAAGTATGATTGATCTGACACTTTCAGTAAATCGGAATATAATCAAAATTATATTCTCGTTTATCGAACATGGCTGAACATTGCAAGCATATAAAAAAAAATCTAAGTAATCTCAAATCTCATCCATACCACCTCTACTAAACATCTGCCTTTAAAAATGCTGGATATGGATTAAAGTGAGAGTAATGCTGTGGTACTAAACTGTTACTGTGACAGCAGACAGTGTCTGACAGGAAAAGCTTCCCCTGGCCCAAACAATATCAAGCTGCCTTGGTTTTTACTCTGCCTGCCTCAAGAAAGGAGGCGGCCACTGAGCAGGGCCGCCTCCTCCGTGGGAAGCAGGAAGTCTGTCCAAGGAACATCGCACGTGGGACTCCCAAGCCTGCGGAAGCCACGCCTTTTCATTCCTCGAGACGCTTTGTGCAGCCTTGCTGTTCCCGCGGGTGATGGAGGTCACCAGGGGCCGGTCGACAAGGCGGCAAAGACACGCGGGCGTGACGTCATAACCTCAAGAAAAAGCACATTTGGAATGGGGAAAGAGTGTGCAGCACGCGGGATAATCCTCCATCCCCTTCTCGAGAGCAACGTTGAAAGGAAACATAGGATGAAAGTTGTTTGTTTTTTTTTATTAAAACAAAACATGAGCAAACAATTTAGTCAAAACCCCAAGAGGTTAACTTTTTTTTTAGAGTGTGATCACGTGTCCAAACCGAATCAAGTGATTGGCTAAAATCCACTCAGGGAGTTCTGTGTTTAACAGTAAAACGGATCCAGTTAATACGTCTCTCCATCTCCTGACTCGGTCAGGGTTAGAGACCAGGCTAACACCCCCTCCCGGTTGTTCACTTCCTCCCCATGATGAAGCTCGGGGTCTCAGCGTCGTCCTCTTTTTGCTCTTCTTCCTCACTCTCCTCCTTTCGTTCTTCCTCTCCACTACTATCAGAGTCCTCATCTCCGTCTTTTTTCTCCTTGCCCTCGGTATTCGCCTTCTTTGCCAGCAGCTTCTTCTGCTTCAGCTTCTCTCGCTTCCTCCTTCGCTTCGCCGTCCGCTCCTCGGCCTCCAGTCGGTTCTGCTCCAGTTTCTTGATGTAGTCCACGTCCTTGCCCTGCTTCTCTGCCATTTTGTCCAGAAAGTCCTGCCGCTGGTATTCCCTGCGGCGCAGGTGGCGGTATACGTGAAACTCCCCGCTGCCTGCGCCCGCGCTGGAGCCCATCACGTCCCGGACGAACTCCGGCGGCGCCCGCGGGGCCCACTCCTTCGGCCGCTCCGGGATGGGAGCGACTTTGTCGGGGTTCCGCATGAGCCGCTCCAGCTTTAGACGCTGCTCCTCCGCCGGAGTCTTGGGGAGTATCAGCGGCTGAGCTTCTTTCCCCCCAGACTTTCCCGGTTTGTTATTTTTATGTGTCTGCGCCGCCATCTTTAGTTGCCTTTGAGTACTTCCGTTCTTGCCCGGTTAACCCCGGAAGCTCTTGAAAGCTCCATGAGTCACTTTTAAAAATGTTTAATTTCGTTTTGTTTTTTTAAGCAAATACATTATATAGTTCAAGAAAGCAAATACGGTTGTTGAGTGACTTTTTTTTTTAAGTTCATTTTAAACGATTTCTTACGCAATCCACGTTGTTGACGTTATTTTACGCTCTGACTGGCGTTCTTTTTGGCCAATAGCAGCTCAGCTTAAACTTGAGTGGCCTACAGCCGTCCAATCCGCGTGTAGGTCCCGCCCATAAAGCTTGACGTCTATGTTGTCCTGCGAGTTTCACTCAAATAGAACTCAGCGTGTCCGTGTGCGACTAGTTTGCTTATCGAGACCAGAAAAAAACTCGCAGACAAAACAAAACACCATGAACAGTTTAATTAGCTCCACAGCCAGGTGTATACGGTCCGGCGCGGCCGTGTGCTTACTCAGGCCAGCCGACGGACTCGTGCGGGCGGCCTCGGCCCGGTTCTTGTGCGCGGCGGCAGACCTCCAGAAGGACCTTGGCGAGATGGTGAAGAAGGACAAGGTGGTGGTGTTTATGAAGGGGACCCCGGCGCAGCCCATGTGTGGCTTCAGCAACGCCGTGGTCCAGATCCTCCGGATGCACGGCGTGGACCAGTACGCTTCCTACAACGTCCTGGAAGACCAGGAGCTCAGAGAAGGTCAGTAAGTAAGAGTCCGAGCAACAAGTCGGCGTCTTTAAATAGAGGTTTAGCCAAAGGCGCAGCTTCTTAATCGGTCAGCCGGTCTGTAAGCGTCTCTCTTTGCTGAGTTTGGTCCGTTTCAACCAGACTGCCGTGTCTCCCTCAGATCAGCTCTTTGTATTTCCAAACAGTTTGGGCTTTTATCAGCGCCCTGCAGCAGCACCACGGGGTGTGGCTGCAAACAAACCAGATGAGATCAGAGACTTTACTGCTGTTAAAATCTAACAGCAGTAAAGTAAGATTTTAACTTTTCTCTGAAATTTTGTAGGGGGGGAGTGGGGTTGAGACAGTGTACCTGTGTTCTCAGGTGTCCAGTCTCTTCTTATTATTATTATTATGATTATTACTTCTTCCTCTCAGAGCTAATGTCATTGAAATACTTGTTTTGACTGGGTAGTGGATAAAAATATGATCGGAGAGCAAAAAGTCCTGTTGCTGGAAAAAAGCTGGATTATGTTTCTCGTTCTCTATTGTTCCTTTGGTGACTGATCTCCCTGTTTCTGTCTGGACTTTGACCCATAACAACAGGAGTCAAAGTGTTCTCCAACTGGCCCACCATCCCTCAGGTCTACTTCAACGGCGAGTTCGTGGGAGGCTGCGACATCCTGCTCCAGATGCACCAGAACGGCGACCTGGTGGACGAGCTGAAGAAGCTCGGCATCCGCTCCGCTCTGCTGGACGCCGAGAAGGAATCCAAGTAGGACAAAGGTGGTGGTGGTGGGGGGGAGGGGGGGGGGAATAAAGGAGAGAGGAAACGTCAAAGAAATGAGAAGACGGAAAACACATTCATCAGGTCCACACCTCCCCGGCCACACTTGGAGATGAGTCGGCTGACGAGGCAGATTGGATACGTCATGCAGCCGGTTTGCTGCTAATGAAACCGACGGCGTGTCAGGGCCATTTGTAGATAAAAACAAGAAGTGGTAAACGTCTGAGAGAAAAGCTCATTCTGAGACTGATCTCGGAAATTTTGTAGGGGAAAGAGTGGGGGGAATCTCAGAAACTTTCAGTATTTCTACAAAATTTCTGAGAACCATCCCTGATTTTCTGAAAAACCTCAGAAACTGAGATTAACCTCACAAGTCGTCTTAAAAAAAAAAAGCCCCCGACAAATGTCTGAATTTGTAGAAGTCAGTGCTCTACAAAAAAAACAAAAAAAAAATCAGAATTTCTGAAATTAATCTCAAAATGTACTCCTTTTTTTGTCTATCTACAATGTCCTTAATACGCCATCGTAAACAAATGCTTTAAAGTAATTTTTTTATGCATTTGAATCGGAGCCTTTTACACCAGTCCAAAAATACAAATGATATCGACTTTGAAGTTCCTCAAGTTGTTGTTTTTTTTTTTTTTTTACCTAATTTTGCCAACTCAAAATGGATAATCCCATTGGGTAACAGAGTTCTGTATCGACGTCGCCACGGTTTTCTTCCGTGTTACCTTCAGAGATCTGGACTACCTCTCCTCCAGACGTGGTTCTCCCAAAATTCAGACGGACTTCAGTTCCAAATGATGATGTCGACACACTTGAAACCTTCCAGACGCACTGCCTGTTGCTCCACTGCATAAAGAGGGAACAGGGATTAATATGCATTATGATAAAAAAAAAAAAAACTCCAGCCTCTTTGCCTATTATTGCTGTGATTTACATACAAAGTCTACCGACTGAGTTTTTTCTGCTGAAATCCGCTGAAACGCACCAACACACTTTGCCTCTTCTTCTTCTTCTCTTAATTATTTCCTGCCCTGCTGGACAAACTGTGGCAGGTTGAATTTGTTACATCCGTCTTTTCCAACCTGTCTTTTTTTTTTTTTTTTTCTTTTTGTCGCCGAAGGAAGAGTGTTTTTATGTTTTGTTTTGGAGCGCCCTCCAACAGTTGTATTATGAAATGAACGTGTAGTACACTGTAAGATATTGTACATGTAAAGCCTATTAAATGTATTTTAGGAACACGTCAACCCTGCAACAATTAAATATTTTCAGACGCAGACGACGAGTCGACTTGTTTGTTTCTGGCGTATCTGATGGTCGCTTTGAACATTTGACATGCATGACTGGAAAAGGCTGTTTTTATGTCGTTATTTTTGGCTTGTGCGCGAGTATTAAATCATGAATAAACTGGGACGAGGTCATATCTCGAGAGTATTACTGAGCTACGTCTTGGAAGTTTTGCGACTGTAAAGTTGAAAGTAGTCACAAAATTTTTTATTGAAATCAAAACAAAAAAAGGTGGTTATGAAAAGATGAATAGTGTTTATAGTCCTCTGTTTTAACATTATTCTATATTCGTGTAATTTTTCTGATAAAAATTTCACTTCAATTTTTTTTTAGTAGTATTGCTATCAATAGTCCAGTCAGATAAATCTGCCCAGATTCATTCTAAGGGCCCCAAATGGCCCCACTGGCCACACTTGGAGGCTCCAGAGAATTGTTGTTTTGTAATTCCTTAATTTTGTCTCCAGTTGATGTCCATTTATTCCCCAAAATAATTCAGTCATGATTAATTTTTGTACTTCTGCAATTTAACCCCATTTCTACTACAATTAAATGTCATTCATTTAATGTATTGTAGGAACACATCAACCCTGCAACAATTAAATATTTTCAGACGCAGACGACGAGTCGACTGTCATTCATTAATAACACTTCTGCAATTTTATCCCAAAATAATCAATTACTTTAAACTTTTATCAAATTAAAAATAAATTATTTTCAATTTAATTTTCAAAAATGTAAAAAAATGACCAAATTTTATTTTTTTTACATTTTAGCATGTGTGAAAATAAACAGATGCCTCAACAGTATGTCTCTTGTATTTTTTCTGTTTTGAAAAGCTGCAGAATTTTTGGTAGTTTTTTTTTTCTTTCCTTTTTTTGAGAGCAGCTGTTTTTTTGTTTTGTTTTTTTTACTTGTGTAAACAAGTAGCTATATCAGATGCATCTTTAGTCTCCTAGCGCTCCTCCAGACGATCGTCTGTCTCACTCTAACGCCAGGATCTCGTCTTTCCCGTCTTCAATAGTAGAAATGGAATGGACCCGGTGAGGAAACAGGAAGTGGTGTAGATTATTAAAAATGACTCACTTCTGTTTATTTTCTAGGAATTGTTTGGGGGGTTGCACACGTTGCATCATTAGTTTTTTTCTCCAAGTGCCTCCTCTGAGTCTCCATCCCCCAGTGTCCCTGAGTCCAGGTCTCCTCGCGCTGCTCCTCCCGAGTTCATGTTCGTCTCCAGAGTCACCGACTCGCAGTCTGTAGGCAAACCTGCTCAGCCACCGGTCTGAGCTGTGACGAGATGGGATCAAACACCTGATCTCTGTGGATCAAAGCACTGAAGATCAGCAGCTTTGTGGTGGCTGGTGTTGCTTCTGAGATCCCCATCCCTGACCCGGGTAGCACTGACACGATCTTAAATCTCTAAGTCAGTAAAGTCTGTCCGTTTCATTGCTTTATTCATAGAATTCCAAAAACACAATTTTCTGGGAGATAGTGATGTACTCTTTCGGTGCCCTTCTCTCTCTGTTGATCAGACAGCAGCATTCCTGCAGAGGTCGCTCGCGCTCCGGAAGGTTGAAAATTTCATGAGAAAGGTCTCTTTTCTGAAAGAGAATCGGCTGCCACCTTCTCTGGTGGCACCAAGAGAAGGAATACTAAAAGTACTCGTTTGGGCTCTTGCTGTGGCGCCGACTGCTCAGAGTGGGGTGTGTGTGGTTGTTGTGCTCCTTCGACAGCTGCGGGTTGGTGGGTAAACTGGTCCAAATGATGTAGAGGCTGTCGTAGTTTGAGGTAAATGTTAAAGAGGAAGTCCACAATGAAGATCTTGAAACCGGCAGATGCTAGGATGAAGCCCAGCATCTGATACGGTAACAGGCATGAGCATAAAAAGGCCGCCCACAGTGTAACGTAGACCTTCATAGATGACTCTGGCTGGACCCACATGGACAGATTTTTTTACTTTCTCAAGGATGTCAGCAAGGTTCTGAGCTTTCTGAGCAACCTCGAGAAATAAATGGAACTTCTGAGACATAGACGGGTCTTCTTTTGGAGGATCCAATGGCTGAGACACATCAGGTATGATGCTCCACTGGATCCTCCGGAACTTTGGAAATTAGAAACTTCAGGGAAAAGCAGAGCATCACAAGGAACAGGAACACGGGGACGGTGCAGCCATGCCAAGCTACGTACATGTAAACTATAAAAAAAAGAAGGCAGTGGTCCAATTGAATAAGGCAGCCAAGTTATTCAAAAAGCAGGTCACAGGAATAACATCTCATTCTAGGCATCACAGGTTTTCAGTGAGCTTCTTGGGACTATTCCATCTCCCTGTTCCAAAAATCAATTTATGGTCCCCGGGTAGGGGACGTATCAGATATTAAACTGATAACAGATTTTTTTTTTTTTCGAAAAAAGTTTATTGTTACTTAGGACATTTTTAAAAACATGGCATTTATGCAGTTATATAGAGAATTTTTCATTTTTCTTTAAAATACAGTTTCTTCAGTTAAATTAAGCTAAAAGCAGGATAAAACCATCACAGTTAAAAGTTGTGCAGGACCGGGGTGACTCCCTATCAAGTCCGGAGTCATCCTGTCCTCCCAAACAGTGATGGCGCTCAGCGGGGGTCCCCCCCTGATGCTCCTTCCCTCCTGCCTCACCCGGAGAGCCAGGCCGCCGCTGCCGGGACCTCCGTCTGTGAAGCTCCGGCTCCTCCATCCACAGAGGCGCAGGCGATTCTTCTTGGTGGCTGTGTCCTTGGCTCGCCACCTGCAGCTCCTGATGTTTTTCTTTTCGCTGCTGCCATTCGGATCACAGCCACCGGGTGTATCTGCCTGCGCCTGCTCACCAGCAGGTTTCTGAAGGTCCAAATGGCGTCTTTGATGGTGGCAAGGGTGAGCCACATCTCTGCAAAGTCTTTTCTTGTTATTTTCTGGTGGCTCACCCCGTACAGCACGAGCTGTGCATTGAGGACCTCCCCTGCTGGCAAGTGTGAGAATTGCGAGGAGCCGGCCGTTGCCCACAGGTCATCAGCAGCGCTGCACTCCCACAGCAGGTGCCTCACCGACTCCGGCGCGCCACAACCGGGTCGGGTGCAGATGGACGTTGCAGACATGCCGCGGGAGTGCATGACGGCTCTGACTGGGAGGATCCCATGAGCCGCCATCCATGACATGTCCTGAAGTCTGTTTGAGACGACAGGGTGACTCACGTTGCGCCATACTGTGGTGGCGTCCCCACACAGGAGCCCGCGCACTGGAGTCACTGGTTCCTGGTCCTGAACAACGGAGATAATAAATCGATGATTAGTTAAAATCCTGTTGTCCTCTCCTTCCAGCTTAAAATGTTCTAAAAATTTCTGTATAAAAGCATAAGCCGGTGGGAGATTAAAAGCCACAGGGATTTTAAAATCAGTTTTAATCACGTTCAACTTTCTTAAATAGGTGCCCATCCAGAATCTACTCATTGAATTTGACTTTTGATTTGTGGAAATGTTTAGTGCTTATTTGAGGTGAGTGCTGGTGTAAAAACTGCCTTAAAACAAATATAGATCTGGAACTCCTTTCCCTCCTTTCTCCTTTGGTCTCTTCATGATTTCCCTTCTCAGTCTTTCCCACCTGGAGTTCCAGATAAAATAAAAAATGGCTCGTTGCAGTTCTAAAAACATTCTCCTAGGAGGGATAAAAACAGAACTGGTTAGTAAAAACGGGTAAAATCACAGCTTTGATGATTAAAATCTTGCCTTCGAGCGTCAGCGCTCTTAGTCCCCAAAATCCTAATCTTTGATTTACTTTCCTGACTTTCTCTATCCAGTTTATCTCTCCTCCTCCATTCTTATCAAATTTCACACCTAGTATTTTTAACTCTTCCTGTACTGCTTCAAACTGCAATCCTGTCTTTTCACTGTTCTTCCATGGGCCATAAAATTACGATTGTTTTTTCTTTGTTTAGTTTTGAACCTGATGATTTCCCGAACCACTCTGTTAGCTGTAAAACCCTCTCCACTGATAAAAGATCTGCGCATAAAATGTTAAAATCATCCATATATAAAAGACATTTGGCTTCCTGCCCTCCACTCCCCGGTATCTTGACTCCTAAAATCTGTGGGTCCCTTCTCAAGACCTGCGCCAGCGGTTCGATGCAGGCCACGTAAAGGAGGGCAGATAACGGACACCCCTGACGGACACCGCAGTTCACTTCCACTGCTTTTGTCAAAAACCCGTTAACCAGAAATCTGCTGGAGATATCTTGATACAGCAGTCCCACCCACGCTACAAACCTCCCTGGAAAACCCATTTTTTTACTGGAAGAGGTACTGGTGCGAGACCCGATCAAAAGCTTTCTCAAAATCTAAATTTAGGACTATCAGCCGAATGTTTCTGTCTCTCGCAAAACAGATGGTGTCCGTGATCTTCCTCCCCGGCACGGCGCAGGCTTGATCCGGGTGGATTAAATCCCCCAACACTCTGCACATTCTAGCTGCTAAAACCTTGCTAAAAAGCTTGCAATCTACGTTTAAAAGTGTGATGGGCCTCCAGTTTTTTAAGTCCGTTTTGTCTTTATCTTTATGTAAAAGTGTCACTATTCCTGTTCTAAAACTACCGGGGAGTGTGTCTAGTTTGCTAAAATCCGTAAAAACAACAATTAAATCTGGTGCTAAAATGTCCCAAAAAGTCAGATAAAATTCTAAAGGGAGTCCATCAGAGCCTGGAGATTTTCCTCTTTTAAAACCTTTCAATGATTCTAAAAGCTCTAAAAGGGTAAAATCCTGCTCTAAAAAACTACTTTCTGTGATACTTTTTTTCAATAAAATCCAAAGTTTCTTTTATGTTGTCTTCGTTTACTGTTTTTTCTGCGTATATTCACCATAAAATTTTTCAATCACTTTTTTCTTTTCTTCTATATCTGATGCGATGTTTCCATTGTCTGATTTTGATTCAGGAATGAAACTTGGATTGTTTATAATTCTCTTTAAAAAGTATCTGGTGCATTTTTCTCCTTCTATTTCTCTTTCTCCGCTTCTTAAAATGACTCCCTTACTCTTTATTTCTGCTAAAATGCTTATTTCTTATTTTACTTCTCTTATTTCTTTATTAAAATTCGAACCTTGTTGGTTTAAAATACCTTTGTAATCTCTTCTGCAGCCCCATGATGCATCTCTGTTCTTTCTTCTTTTTGTTTTTCCCAGCCAGTCGAAAGAAAGTCTGGCCGACCAGAACCTGGTCTTCCAGCAGGGAACGGTTGAGTTTCCACAGACCTCTCCTGGTCGTGAAGCCCTCCTCTCCAGGATGCATGGTTCTAAAAGAGTCCGTCAATTTAAAATCCCTAACTATTCTTTGTAATAAAAGCGATGTTTTGTCAAACTTAAAATCCTGCTTGTCTCTTTTCCTATCTTTTCTCGTTAAAATACAATTAAAATCCCCCCCAACTATTAAAGGCTTTCTTCCTAGCATGTGGGGCTGCAGTTCCTCTAAAAAGTCATACCTGTCATGTTTATCACTAAAACCATAAATATTTAAGAGGTTAAAATCCTGTCCGTTAAAAGTCAGATTTGCTAAAAGTGCTCGTCCATCTCACCCAGTGGCGGAGCTAGACTTTTTTTCAAGGGGTGGCCAAAAGGTGAGCAAGGCTTTATCAGAGGGGTCCATATACAAATGTACCGTTACATGGAACGAAAGGAAAAAATATTTGTTTCCTTTCATTCAAAATTAATATAACTAGTTAGGTTATAATTCAAAGCTTTCATATGACATAGCCTACTTACATTTCAGTCAGTATAAAACTTTTTTTCACATATTCTTACCACACATTTCAAGCAAGAGCTGGGAGATATAAAACATTACAGGGCAGCATGTGCACTAAAACATATGTTAGGAGGAAGGCCCATGTTGAAAATGTTCTTCAACATGTCTGAAACACGATCTATCAGCACTAGCATGGCTAATATAATAAACGAGGCACTACACAGCGGTGCACAACCATTTTTTTTTCTTTTTAAAAATGTATGACAAGTGCCGCCTCTCATTAGGAAGGAAAAAGTGGTTACTGCTGAGCGGTAAAATGTAAATACCTGCAAAACTCCTCGACGGTGTAACTCTAGGAGTGCTCAAGTCCAATCCTCGAGAGCTACCGTCCTGCAACATTTAGATGCAGCCTTACTCCAGCAGACCGAGAGCAGCTCTGAACAGGTCTGGTAATGAGCCATTCATTTGATTCAGGTGTGTTGGAGCAGGGATGCATCTCAATGAACAGCGTCGGGCTGCCTTCAGGGACAGTCGGAAATTTCCTGGCAAATCTTTGCCGATCTCATAAGTATTTTAAAATTACCATTTCCAGTGGGGTGGCAGTAGGGTTGGCAAGGGCTCTGTTGGGGGTGGCAAGTGCCACCCCGGCCACCCCTCTGGCTCCGCCACTGCTCTCACCACAGTGCTGCCCTTCACCAAGATGTGCGGGTTGTTAATTAAAATGGCCACACCGTCATTTTTATTTTTATTAGAGCCGCTCCAGATGGACGGTCGTGGCCATAAATCCTGCCACCGGGTGTAATGTTTTAAAAACGGGAGTGCACATTCCTGTAATAAAAACACATCTGACTGTACGGAGATTAAAAAGGATAAAACACTCTGTGCTCTAACTCGCGACTTCACACTTCTAACAATTATAGTTGAGAAGGTGAGAGCCATGAGTGTAGAAGCTATTTCTCCATTATTTTTAGTTAAAGTTTAGAACGTAGATTATTCAATTTATTTTGTTTGTTTTTTAGTTAATTTATAATTAGAATGTTTATTTTGTTTTCTAAATAAGTTTTTGGTTAGTAATTCACTTAATTAGTTAATTGATTTCAGTTTGGGAAGTGGGTGTGTTTCACAGTATAAATATGTAGCGTTTAGATGAGTCTTGGTCACGTGGGTGGTCATATGGTTTTTTACCGGTCGGTCAGTCTGTCTGTTTGTTCGTCATCAGTCAAGTTTATCAATCAGAAAAGATGCAGGAGTTAGGGCAGGTTGTCCACAGCCTGTAACTTGTTCTTGGTTAAAGGCCGAATAAAGCAAACAAAGAATTGCATTTTGACTGTTTGACCTTTTGTTTGGACTGTGTAAACCAAAACCCACGATGCACAGTATTGGCTGTTTGAATTTATTTTATTTTTCTTTGGTCATTTTTTGAGATTTGAATTTTTTCAATTTTTGGAATTAAGTTCGGGACAAATAGTCAATACATTTCAAGTAAAAAACCTGACCTTGGCTTTGATACGACCTCAAGTAAGAAACCGGATCCTGGAGTTTAATCAACGCTCTCAAGTCTGCGGATGGGTGGATGACTCCATAAAGTTTGGAGGAACTACTTCCTTTGTTCTCTGGACGCCGAAAGCAGGAGGAAGCGGCCACGCCCACAAGCCATGAAGGTGCTTCACCTCCAAGCTCTAAACGCTCATGTCTTTCTTCAGTGACAGCGGTATGTACAATGATTGCTAATGCTGTAAAGGAAAACGGCCAAACGACAGGAGTTTGATGATAGCGATCATCGTTACCGTACAAGTTCGTCAACATGATGAATGAAAGACTGAGTTAATGCGCTGCACCTTTACGCACAGCCAGTGGCTTTAAAAAGAAAGGAAAGTTACAGACAAAACGACAAGGAGTTTAGTGTTTTCCTAAAATGTCTGATGTGTTGAAAGCACAATTAAGAGTGATTTGGAGATTTCATCCAAACGAAGTATTAAACTGACTGAGAAAGGCTTTATGTCTTAAATAAAAACGTGCCAAGATAAAAGAAATGCTAAATTGAAACAAGCAAGACGAATAATGGACGATTTAAATGTTTTGATGGAGTCAAATGACAAAGCTGACTCAGTGAATTCTCTTCTTGCTACATTTATTCAGTGTTCTCAGGAAGCAGAGGCGTCTCATAAAAACTTAACTTGCCACTCCCCTCTGATGAACTCAAGAAACAAAACAAACATTTTCAGAATGAAACGAGTTCTTATCACGAGTTTACTGAGCTTGTCAGGGGCTGGTTGTGTGAACGGGATGCGCCCTTTGTGCAATCAAGTGCAGATGATCAAGACAAGAATGATGTTGATAACGCAATTAATCCTGAAGACAGCACTTCCAATGTGCGCTTTGTAAAGTCCAAGTCCGGCTCTCAGGTGTCCCGTGTCTCCTCTACATCTTCGGCTCGCATTAAGGCGGAGGCCGAGAGCACGGCGCTGCTGGACTCAAAAAGAAACATCAGCTGGAAGCGCTGGAGGAAAAGCTAAAACAAGAAAAGAGCAAC